AAGGCGCACGAGGTGAAGCATGAAAGCGGGCGCTGCCACGTCTGCGTGGAGTGCGGGCTGGACTTCTCCACGCTCACCCAGCTGAAGCGGCACCTCTCCACGCACCAGGGCCCCACACTCTACCAGTGCCTGGAGTGCAGCAAGTCCTTCCACTACCGCAGCCAGCTGCAGAACCACATGCTGAAGCACCAGAACGTCCGGCCCTTCGTGTGCACCGAGTGTGGGATGGAGTTCAGCCAGATCCACCACCTCAAGCAGCATTCCCTCACGCACAAGGTAGGGGACAGGGCACCCGGGGATGCTGCCCATGATGTGCCTGGAGGGGATGTGCCAGCTCTGGATGTGGGTGCCAGGGGAGAGGGGTGTCCATGCACCCAGAGGCAAGGGAGATGGGTGCTGTGGGTGGCAGAGGCACGCCTGGTTCATTTGCTCAGGGCCATTGATTAGCAGTGAATGGGCATCACTATGGGTAAGGATGGGCTCTGGCACCCGTGGTCCCCAGCTCCTTTTCTGCTCTCGCTCAGCAGCACTGACTCAATACCGGCTGCAAACACATTTGCAGGATGGTTGAGACAGTGTCTGGGGGTGAGGCAGGAGGCAGGGAGTTGCCCATGGGGCAGCACAGGGAAGGCCCCAAGCTCAGTGGTGCCTGCTGCACCTCCAGAAGAGAGAGGGGAGCAGGAGGTGCTCTGGGCAAGCTGCAGATGAGGTGACCCCAGCTCCTGGGGTCCAGCCCACTGACAGTCACAGAATCACGAAATCACAGACTGCTTTGGGTTGAAAGCTCATCCAGTTCCAACCCCTGCCACAGGCAGAGACACCCGTCCCCAAAGCTCAGCTTAGTGTGAGGAGCCTGTCCGTGCTCCACACCGTGCCCAGCTCCGGTGGGGTCTGTGCAGTGACCCCATGGCTGCTGCTGCCTGTCCGGGGCCAGGCTCTGCCCATGGCTCTCGAACCCTTTGCAGGGTGTGAAGGAGTTCAAGTGCGAGGTGTGCGGGCGGGAGTTCACCCTCCAGGCCAACATGAAGCGGCACATGCTGATCCACACCAGCGTCCGCCCCTACCAGTGTCACATCTGCTTCAAGACCTTCGTGCAGAAGCAGACGCTCAAGACCCACATGATTGTGCACTCGCCAGTGAAGCCATTCAAATGCAAGGTACAGGGAGGCCGGGGGGGCTTAGCAGGCCCGGGGTGGGGGGTTAGTGCAGGCCCTGGTGCTCTGTGCTCCAGAGGAACCCAGCCAGGCTGGGCTGAATCCTCGGTTGCAGGAAAACAGTTTTGTGATGCCTCCCTCTGTTCGCTTGGGCGAACAGCTCATCAGTCTGCTCCGAGCTGCACAGTGGGCACCACTGATGGAGGAGGACAACTAGTGCCTCTCTCTGATGAGCACTAGAGGTGCTGGAGTTCTCAGCAGCACCAGCACAGCACCCCTGAGGCCCCTACCGCAGCAGGGAGGAGGGAGCAGCCCCGTTACTGTTGGTGGGAGCAATGGGGTGCTGCAGGGTCAGGTCGTGGTGGGTCCCGGTGCCGTGAGGAGCCCTCAGTGACAGGAGCACTGCCCACAGGTCTGCGGGAAGTCCTTCAACCGCATGTACAACCTGCTGGGGCACATGCACCTGCATGCGGGGAGCAAGCCCTTCAAGTGCCCCTACTGCTCCAGCAAGTTCAACCTGAAGGGCAACCTCAGCCGGCACATGAAGGTCAAGCACGGCGTGATGGACATCAGCCTGGACAGCCAAGGTAGGTGCAGGCTGTGGCCAGTGCTGTGGTTCTATCTGCTGCAGCTGCTCCCGGCTCTCAGCTGCTTGCTGGGGAGTTGGGTTGTGCTGCCACAGCTCTGGTGAGTGGATTTTGGCAGCCTCCTGTCCATCACCCAAAGGCTGCCCTTGTCCTACCAGCATCCCTCCATTGAAAGGTAGCGAATGAGAGCGGGAGTGAGATTAATATTAATAATGAACTTCATTAAACAGTCAGTAAATAGCTCCTCAAGGAGCTGCTGAGGCTTCAGCACCTCCCGACAGGATGATGCCCTCTGGTGACACTGTGGTGGTGGTTTTGGTTGAGGGCTTTGCAGCATGGGAGGGTAAATACCGCTGCTCTTGCTCCCGCTGCCCACTCGGTACCTGCCCAAGGGCACCAAGCGGGGACGGGAGATGCTGCGGCCGCAGGAGCACCAGTACAGGTCCTGTGCCAGCAGCCATGCAGTGGGGCCACCCCTGCTTCACAGGGACAGAGCTGGAGACCAGCTCCGGCTGTTCCATCCCCTTGGTTTCCCAGCAGCTTGATGCCCACCTCGAGTGTGCCCCGGGGGGACCCAGCAGGATCCCCCATTCCTGCCCTTTTCCGTCCTCCTTATCTTGGACAACACGGAAGTTGCAGGGGTGTGAGGGCAGAGGCTGTGCTGGGAGGATGCCTCCGTGTCCCCGTGGTGGGAGGAGTAGTGCAGACCCCTGCATGTGGCAGTGAGCACTCCCATGCTAGTGCTCT